AAGTTAAAACGTAAAATAACATGTTTAGACATTTTATTATTTCTTTGCTGTTCATTTATGTCAAATAAAAAATATTTGTTACCAAAATTGTTGAGCATTACGTTAGTATAATGAATATCTATGATAACACGATATTTATATGCAACGTACTATGTAACATATAAATCATTTTTACGTAAAAACACATGCATTATCATTTATTAACGTATAACGAAATATGTAGTTAAAGAATTAGTGATTCAAATTTATTTTTGCTTAGCTTAACAGAGTGAAGAAGAAATTAATTTAGTGGTATTCAACCTACACATTAACATATAAAAGGAGCATTTAACATCAGTCTTTCAATCCATTCCACTTAAAGATTACAATTGTGTAATCAGCCTTTTTTCTGAGTTAGCAAGACAAAAGTGAGTCTGAATTTCATCTACAAAATGTATACGTAAACGTCGTCTGCTTTACCGGTAGTCGGTCAATATATAAAAGTACCCCTGTGCGGGCCTCAAAATGAGCATCTGCTGCACATGCGCACAACAATGGGATTCCCGTACTTTTTATAGGCATGTTTTGTAAACAAACAGGTAAAAGTCTGTGTTATTTTTTAAATATCTTACCAAACTTGACAAAATTTCCAGATATTGTCGAATTCCAGCGATAGTATGAGATGGTGAGCTTGATTAGATTAAAAATTCCGATAACTCAATTAAATTATAAAAAGCCGAGTTTATCAACCAGCCGAAGTTATCTCCCCAACCAGTATGATCAGTACATGTGCTGGGATTGACAAATATGTATTTTATTTGGATTTTAAAGGTGTTTTGAGCTCCACGCCCCAAGTGTCTGTGGGTTTATATACAATGCACCTATAAATTTGTTATTACTAGAAACAGTACACAATAAAATGCTACTATGTTTTATTTAAGAAATAATATATCCCAAACAGTGATTTTATCGCTCAATAACATCACTGTTTGGAGTTCGGATGCGAGGAATTATATCACGAGGGCGTAGCCCGAGTGATATAATGATGCGCGTCCGAACGACAAACAGTGATGTTATCAAGCGATAAAATCACTGATTTGGATATATTATTTCGATTCTAACACGACATTAACAAATAAATGTTGCGGTACTTGATAGTTAAGCAAAATTGCGCCTGATTTGTTTCCGAACTTATTTTCAGCGCGTCGGATTTTTAGTGGTTACGTCACGTGTATAATGATTACGTCACATGTCTAAATATAGAACGTCAAACTGTGCATCTGTTGCATAATAACACACACTTTCTGTTCTTCTATGTTCAATAGGGAAAAATGCGGGTCGTGTTAGAATTGGGCATAAAAATACGCCGTTGTAGTCTTTCTAAACCAACGGTCAATTAAAACACTAACATTTATCTTGATTACATGTTAACCAACCGTGGGTATCCGGTGGGGTGTATAAAATATGACTTCGCAAGGCCATAGTAAAGCAATTACCGATATTTTTACTCGTAAATAAGTAAAAATAAACTTATTTTTAGTTTGTTCTACATGATCCCATTGATATTGTCACATGAATATGAAGGGTTGACCTTTAACAGTTGTCTACAGACTTAATTGACAATTTTATTGTACAGTGATAATTATAGTTCTCTATAAAAAAATTATTCTTTCAATATAGTATATTTTTACATCTTATATCAAACAAGCAATTATCAAAGTATTGTAAGAGGTAATAAAGTCCCCTTCCGGTTAGAACCACACGAGAAAGTACGTCAGCAACATTCTGAAGGACCATGGCCATTCAATTATACCATAATGGAGGACACGAATGAACTTTTGAGTCCTTAGTTTATCTGTATCATAGTAATGTGTTAAGTTTCAATGCCTTTAATAAGGAAATTATGTTTATATTAAAACAGAACAGATCAGAACAGAACAGAAATTTTATTTTCTAGACTTATACAAAGTACATCGTCTTGTTAACATGTATTGAATAATATATACAACATAATCACATAAATATATGTATGGCGAGTCATTATAATAAATATAAACATAACAATTACAAGCACCAAATTCATGAGAGGATAAACTACAATTGAGAGTTCAAAATCGAATTTCTAGGCTTTAAAGCTTCTTTGATATATTTGCAAACATTTATTAATATTTTTTTATTTTTAATACACAATAATTCAGTAAATTTAAACATAGATGGTATGTTATAATAGTAACTTTTTATATATTTTTACGTAAATCTACAAAACTTGAACACACACATATGAAATGATACTCATCCTCTATATCTAAAACATTACAGCACTGACAGTATCTTTGTTCACAAGGAATGTTATTAGTGGCATACCTTCCTGTTTGTATTTTGAGAGGATGAACAGATAGTCTTAATCGACAAAAATACATTCTTAATTTACGTGGTAAAATGTCAAGATAATTTTCGTAACTAAGACACGATTTAAAATGTTTGTAATTACATAAAACAGAACTTCGATCTAGGATACTGGCCCATTCTTGTTTATAATGATCTTTAATCTTGATTAAAAATCAAATATATTCCCGGTCCAATATGAATATAATCATGAAAACTCAGGCGCTAGACTTATAAATGTAATTGCATATGATGATGTAGGTGTTGATAATGGACATATATTTAGGTAAATCCATGAAGAAATAAGAAAGTTATAGAATAAAAAGGAAAATTCAATGTTTAAGTAGGAGATTTATCACATAAACCGCGGCGCAGGAGTGTAATAAAGCCATTTAATAAAAACGATATTACACTAGACAATATTACACTAGCGTAAATAACACTTTGACGTCACGTCATTTGCACTATAAACATAGCGTTAAACCGCGCTAATATTAGCGTTACACTATAGGCTCGTCAAAGAAAAATGACTTTTGTTAACAGTTTACCGTTCTTATTTTATATATGTGATAAATATATTATATTCGTGTAGATTCAATACTAAATTTATTGAACTCGTTGAATAAAACAATATTATGCTCGCCAGAGGCTCGCATAATATGATTTTATTCAACTCGTTCAATAAATTTAGTATTAAACCTACACTCATTCAATATCCTCTATTTATAAACCTTTTCTGGCAGTTTGAATTTAATTCTTTATGAAATGAAGATTTGAGCAAAAAATAATAATTTCTAGATAAAAAATCTAAGATGAAAATTAAGGGATAGGGGTTGGGGGCATAATTCTGGAAATAGTCAAGCTAGAGCACTGAATCTTCTCACACATGATTTAAGTGATAATAAGAAACATACATGTATACTTGAAGTTCTAAGTACAGAATAGTCACTTAAGAAACAAAAGAGTTACAGAAATCAAACTACAGTACATTTTTTTCATTAAATTTTAAGATTATTGATGACAATTTGAATTATGATAATAAAGGTGCTAGAATTATGAACCCTTGTCACATATGATGCGAATGATGATTAGAAACATATATTTCAAGTTTGACTGCCATCTACCCATTTTTTAAGTTTCAAACAAATACTTTCATTACTTTTTGGCGTTATCACAGGATCCATGTGTTATATTTGCCATATTTTAGGTCTATTTGTTGCCACAGCAACACATTTTTCAACATAGGAAGAAAATAAAAGACGTGCATAATCTGCAGCCTGCCATCTACACACATTTTAAGATTCATAAAGATATTTTCAGTACGTTTTGCGTTATCACGGGATCAAGTTTTTGTGGACTGATGGACGGAGGGGAGGGCAAATCTAATTACCATATGTCTCTTGTGACCGAAAAAAAAAAGCACTAGTTATTGAGTTTTTTCTTAAAATAAAATTAGTCATCTGTGTGCTAATTTAAATACTGCCATATACTACCTTCAGAGTATCTTTATGCTAATACATTCATCTCACATGTATAAGGGTATATCCTATAATTACTTACGCCCCATCATGAAGAGCTGAATGGAAATCGCCTACAGTCATGTATGCTTCTCTTTAATCTGCTTGACTTAACCTTTGCAAATAACACCCCATACCCAGTATGTTTATGTTAAAGCTCATATTTTTTAGATAGATTTATGGAATTGATTTTCTGATACGGTAAGATTTTTTTTCTGCTAAATTTATCAATAGTCGTGTTTTAATTAACTTATTTTGCAAGTAAGTGGTATTTGAATTAAATATTTATGTACATTTTCTTTTGTATTTAATAATGATATTCAATTACAACTTTATTTAATTCAGAAAAAAATCTGTTAGGTGAACTGATATTGTAAGTGCGTGCAAAATGCTAAAAGTAATTTCATCCTTGAACATGATTTGTTGAATATAAGTTATTGGCGCGAAGAAGTAAACTATTCAGTTTCTTTGCCTATTTATTTATTATTAGTTATTACTATTTATTTATTATTAATATAGCTCCGTGAAATTACGTTTTTTAATAGGTTGTCCCGCTAAGGCATTCGCGACATACATACATAACTCGAAACAACGAAAATACGATGGTGAAAAGTCGAAATAACGAAACCACGGTGATGAAAAGTCGAAATAACGAAACCACGATCATTAAAAGTCGAAATAACGAAACCACGATCATGAAAAGTCGAAATAACGAAACCACGATCATGAAAAGTCGAAATAACGAAACCACGATACGATGACGAAAAGTCGGAAGTGCGATGGCGATAAGTCTAAATAACGAAATCACGATGTGAAAACTCAATATATTTTCATTTTTTCACGTTTTCATGATTTCAACATCGTGGTTTCGTTATTTCGACTTTCCAACATCATATTTGTATCGAGTTATGTGTGTGTCGTGATGGCCCTAACGGGACACCGTACTGTAAATATTATCAATAAGTTTATTTTCGCGAGAAATGTTAGTTCATATGTACATTATGCCTAATTATTTATATTTATTGATTATATATTCTTGCTTAAATACCAGTTACATTAAGTTTCTTAGCCCGTGAACTGATATTTTAAGTGCATGATCACATGATCAGTACGTGGTCTACACGCACAGTTAAAATAAAATCAGTTAAAACTGAAATGCGATATGCCTGGTAAAATATTAATTGTGGGTTAGAATAAATGCATATCGTGCGTCAGTACACGTTTACGGGTAGCATGTTACAACCATAATTATTACCTGCTGGATAATGATTCGGTAAGTCTTTTTTTTTTTATCTTAATCCTTTTTTATTATCATTTTTGTTCAATTAGGTTTTAAGTCAAACCGATTCTGATCTGAGCTAGTGTGTATATTTGCGCCACTCCCCCGGGGGGGGGGGGCAAAAACACGTCTATATCAGGGAAAAGGTAAGGAGATGGTTTTTATCATATTGTTTCCTCACACGCAACACATAGTCTCAATATTTCGACTGCAAGACAGACCGATTTTATAATCTGATATTTCATATCTTTAAAGGCCTATATAGGAATGCGTTTATCAGATTAAGCTAATAATAATAATAAAGATGCGTTGAAATTATGAATGCACGTGTAATCTGAGTCTCGGTGTGATACAGTCAAATAAAGGTGGTCACCATGTACTATTTATATAACAAAATTACATTGTTAAAGCACGTACAAACTCACTTATCGTGGTTTGCCCCATCGACAGTTACCATATAAAGGCTTACAGTTTTTGTTATTTAATGAGCCTTAAAACGAATGTTGAAGAATATCGAATAACCTGTTTACATTTTTACATTTTTAAATTTGGTTTGTTTAAATCTTCAACTTAATATTTTAAGTGTATGTCGTTGAAAGGATTAATTCTTCCTTCTTCAGTTAGTTTGTTTATTCATTCGTTGAAAAAAAACAACGACAAAACACACAAACTTATCAGGATTGGGTATTTTTGCTTGTATTCTCCACATACTAGTACATGTACCTGATACAAATAAAACCGGTATCCACGCTTGTATACCACCCATTATATTTAGTTTATATGTAGTTTTACATTTTATTTAAAGGCACATTACAGCCAAGATATGCTCTAAAAAGATTTTTTATTTCTGATTTTGAACTGTTTATACTAGTTTTACCGGGGTTTCAAATAATTCCAAAATATTTATATCAAATATGCACCTCTTATATTTATGTAGCGTTTATATTTTCATTTCAAGGCTTAACATTCCGGTGAAATAAAGAGGTATTTGTATGTATAATATCAACTTGTAGTTCGCTTGATTGTGCCCCTAGGGTCAAAATTGGCTCCACCCTGGTGATCATTTAATTTAAATAGCCATACAGGAAAACATTTTAAGATTTCTTGTGAGGAACAGACATGCCCAGAGCTTACACTTATGGCATGTAACACTGTCTTGTGGATCTCTAGAAAAGTTACATAAATCATTCTCTTCCCTGTCACTTTGTTTCCATTGACTAAAATAGTAAACATGTTGTAAAATCTTCTTAGAAACTTAGATATATCTGGCTTTCAAGAACTTATATATCTTGCATGCAGTTTTTCCTGGCGGACATCTGTGACGTCCTTGGCTTGTTTGCTACACAAGCATTGTCACACGAGTCCGTCTGGGCCCGGTTTTTAGCGTTAGTTAAAATACGATTAAACAACTTAATTACATGCTTTTCAGTGGACAGCGAAATTATATAGAGGATTAAGGGACCATGAGTAAAATCGCGGGGCTTTATTTGTTATAAAATTTAAAGTCTCTGGTAAAATTAAATTTGCGTATATATGTTTATGAACTAGTTCTTGTGTGATTGGCACTACAAAACATGCGTAGGTTATTTTTTTAATTTTGGTTTAGCTATTGTTTTACTAGAATATAAGACGCAAGCGTGTGTATATATATGAACCAATTTTAACATTCTATGTGCCACTTAAAGTATTGGATTGCAACTTTATTACATATTTATTTATGCTCTAGCTGGAAAAAAGGAACATAAAGTTGTTGACTAGGGTAATTTGGAACCACGTCAAAATGCACAAATGTGTATATCATCTATTGTTTTATAATATAATTATATTCCATGTCACTCTTTGAAGATCTATGCGTAGTACTTTGACACCATAGTACCCTGTACTATCTCGTGTAGTGTCATGAAAGTATGAAAATCCTATTATTGAGTTATGATCATTTGCTGTCGGATACCAACCATTTATTTTGATTACAGGTTAATCATTCGTGGGTCGTAAGGCTATACTAGAGCAATTAACGGTAATTTTACTCGTATATTAGAAAAAATATAAACTTATCGATATCTATGCTGTTTTAGCATAAGCTATATGGCTCCAGAAGATTTAATTGGCAATTTTATTCTACTGTTATACTATAAATTGTTTAAGAAAAGTTGACTGTTTTTGATACTGAGATGTGAGATTTCATAGTTTTTTTTTAACATGCTCTGAAAAATTAATCAGAACATGCACTAAGAATGATTATCTTGTAAAGCGGGATAGTTCCTTTTTTACGGTAAACACGGGGAGGGGGAACTAATGCACGAAGGATGGAGTTCTTAGGAGTATTTCTCAGTTACACATGCTTTAAGCAACCGCCTTTCTTAAGCAGACAATATATAGTTAGGCTTACCCCCAAGTAGCGGATAAGTAATTTGTATCATTTTATACCATAGTAAACTAGTATATAACAAGGATAACCTTAACACATATGCACCGAAATGTATGATCGTGAACAATACGGAAAAAACCAACCGCGGTTAGCTCTCACTACCGATCTTTTCAACAAATTTGCACGTGCCCTATGGGTTCGAGCAAAAGAAGTCCGACTGTATGATTTTGTTATTATTTACAGTAAAAAAGCAGAGTGTCCACAACTAGGATTATAATTATAGCGGTGATGCCTATCAAACATTGACAGAAGAATTTAGTTTTTACTGTAAAAAATGATAACATACATGGTATTATTTTTGCACATCTGGATAAGTACTTTTAAGCAAATCATGTTTATTCAGTTAAGACTGATTCTAAAGATATGGAATCCAACTTTGATAAGAAAAATGTATGAAATAATCTTCCGCAAAATGGAGATTTCTGTACGTCACGTGATACTAAAGTAATAAAGAAAGGAACAAGGTCAATGAACGGCATGAACCTAATGGTGAATTAATTATATTATCAAAGATTTATTTTGTATTGTCATATGTTTACGTCTCTATGGCAAAAAAATGATACCTTTTAGAAATCAAAAAATCCGTTGAATACCTAGATAAATCTGGATAAAGGTGGTGCATATTATTTCATATTTTGCTGCAAACCATTTAAATGTAATTTGTTTCAGCATACTGATAGCATAGTTACTTAATATTCTCTAAAACTGTCAGGAATAATGGATAAAGTGAGTATTGAATTCAAAGCATATTTCATCAAGTAAGTCAATGCTCTACATCAAGCCTTTTTTCAGTCTAAAAAGTACATTATATGAAATGAAAAAAGCACAAGAAACGGAGGTAAGAAAAATACCCCTTGAACTAAAATACATCCAGAAACCAACATTATATAACCAAATTGTTTGTGCAAATGATAAGTATACTACACTTTATAATGATTTACACACTTGTTGACAAATAAATACCCTAAAACGTGAAGAAACACACTGGCGGTAACAAAAGTTATCACAAGAAATCTAGGACATTTTCATAGTTATAACAAGAACTCTGTAACATTTGAAAAATAGAGTATAAATTTTATAGCCTGGGTTTTATGTTTGTAGTTTTCTTTTAGGTAATTAGGTAATAAAGAATGGCAACAAAGATCACAAAATGGATAGGTCAATGTGTATGAATGAGCAAATGATTTGGAAATTTTACTCAAAACTACTAGGGTGATGAAAAATGGACTAAAAAGTATGTTGTTGTTTTTTTCAGACACATAATACAATATGTAAGGCAAGCTTAATCATCAAAGTTTCATTTAGCACCTCAAACTCACTTTTTAAAGATGAAAATTAGCATTTTGACGAGTGTTTTTATAGTATTCAATAAAGTTTTCCGACGAAATCCGTAACGTTTTCAAGGAATTCCGTGAAAGTTATCGTAAGAACTCCTGACAAATTACCTTAATACACGAATACATGTACACTTTTCTGCGAATTAAAAAATGCAATTGACGGTAAAAAATTTCATTTTCTGGATTGTAAATGGCGATTGAGGCATGGAATTAAAGGACTATGTTTAATATCAACTCAAAAATCCTTTATGTTTTATGACCAATAAGATACTCCTATATCATGTATATACCCCCAAAATTAGGCGAAGTGATGAGATGGACAACTTGATAGTTTTATTACCTTTCAGCATAAAAATCGTAAGTCAAAATTAAGAACAAACAAGAGTTGCAGTCGAATGACATATCCCTATCCGTTGTCATTTGTTAAAAATGCTTTTACTCTTTATGTATAGATCAAATCCATTTATATTCTCCTTCAGACTGAGGCTAGACCTCGGTTATAGTAGCTATCCTCAAGAGTTTGAAACATTCCGTCCAATAGTAATGAAAAGATTTGTTTAAATTGTTTCACGGACACACGCACGGACAAGTGACATTACCATATTTCTCATCTGAGGATAATTATATTGACATTGTATCTTTGAAAGAGTCCAGTAAAGGCTTTTATGCTTCAGGTGGGGGTCATAATAATATGACCGGAGGGTCAGTTTACAACGTTACACCGGCAAAAAAATGTTGTTTTGTTGTTTTGTTTTTGCACGTTATCAAGTACATAATGTACAGCGATAAGACAAGTTGTGGTAAAACTTGATAAAATGTGTCTCTCCAGTCAGAACGATACCTTATCATAAATTCAAATGTATTACTTTTATTGATGTTAATATATACGGAATATTATGTTGTAGTAGCTTTCTGAGGCTTTGTATTTTACTACGAGAAGCGGTGGAAAAATTGATATCTCGCGAGACCGAAGGTCGAGCGAGATATCAATTTTCCAGCGTTGCGAGTAGAAAAATACATAATCTCAGAAAGCTACTACAACATAATTTTCCTTTTATTATATACCTCTTCGTTTATTCAGAAAATTAAATGCAGTTGTCAAGAAATAAATTCATGACTGACGGATGAATACGTAATTTTTCAAATCGGCCACGCCTTTAATAATGTTGGTTCCCGTTTCCAAATGCAACGTTATACAAAGCTAAGATCGGAACCAACGTCAAAAATAGTCCGGCGCTTCCATATATGGTACCGTATTTGTCACTAACATAATACGGAAATTTCTTTCCGTTGAAGCGTATTTGCGCTTCATTATTTGCGTGTATTTTAGGGAGAAAATTTATAGGTATATAATAAATACGTTTATCTATAGCTGCCACTATTAAATGAATTCATTACAGAAGTTTAATACGCAATGTGTAAACACCGAATGATATCTAGAGCATCAGTCGAAAGGTTCGTTATTATTAACATTTGATTTTATTGTAATGGTAGGAATCGAACACGCGGCGCCTATAGACTTGAATCCAATAGACTGCGCGGACTCTACATATGACTGACTGCCTTATGGACTTCCGCCATCTGAAAGGAGGGTGATTTTTGGAAATAATACCGAGTTAGATAATAGCGGATAGCTTCCTCACGCAAATAAATAAATAAATAAATAAAGTGGCAAGTGCTTTGATCACATATTGTAAAGTAATGATTCAGTAAACGAATAACTGTAATTTATAGGATTAACTAATTTAACGCATGAAACAACAATATTGTTTGGTGACGCCAGATTAACTTAAAATTAAATATTTATCACAGTGTTTATATATTTGTTTATATACTTGAAACGATATTAATCCACCCTACTTCAGTTATTATAAATATGCTCCTCAAAATTTTATCTGTAAAGGTTTACATAGATACAGAGTTATCGAATATGCTCTATTCATTTCTTTCACAGAACTGATGCTTAATTTGTTTTAGTAGAAATATAAGGAACCGCATTGAGCGGAGAGATAATTGAAATATGTATTTATTTTTTCTCCTTTTACAGAAAAATGTTTTCCACCGTGTTGAGAAAGACGAAGCATTTGGTACATTACACCGTGACTTTTGGTTTAATCGTTGTTGTCCTGGTCTGTGTCAAAAACAATTATCTACCTTTCATACGAGGTGGGAATATATACAGGGGACCAGACCACAGGATATTGGTTTCAAAGTCCGTTACATCGCGCAATATCACCAGCCAGGTTTTCTCGCACTCCATAAAAGAATATGCAACTTTTAAGAACACAAAATTGAAGACACACGTTCAAAAGACTGGAATTACAATGGTTTATAAGAAATCTTCACCGTTTATAGATCCTGTGTTTCACGTGGACATTTCCTCTCATAAACCTACAAGGAATCATGTAGACCATACTATTCTGTTCCTGGAATCTCCAGACTGGTTCAAACAATGGTCTGCGTCTGCTAATATAGGACAGTGTCTCAAGTATACGAACTGTAAACAATCTTTTGACCGTTCTCTTTTTAGGACAAGTAAAGCGGTTGTATTTAACTTACCGGAAAGAGGCATTGACTCGGTACCTCCTATACATTTCAAAAGCCCTGACCAAGTCTGGGTGTTTTTTACTTTAGAATCACCATTACACATCAATCAAGTTTATAACAGTCGTAATTGGCACAATGTTTTCAATTGGTCTTGGACATATCATCCAAATGCTGATATATTTAATCCTTATGGTGTTTTAGTTGAAAAGAAAATAGTACCGTTTAGAAATTATTCTAGTATTTTTCGGAAGAAAACGAAGTTTGCCGCCTGGGTAGTAAGTAATTGCCATGCTCCGAGCGAACGGGACGAGTTTGTTAATATCTTAAAACGATTCATTGATGTCGATGTGTTCGGTAATTGTGGAAGTCGGGCTCCGCAGAATTTAAGTAATTATTTAAATGAACACTACAAGTTTTATCTCGGTTTTGAAAATTCCCTCTGTGAAAATTACATGACAGAGAAATTTTTTAAATATTATAAACTAGATGTTATAACAGTGCTGAGGGGACATACTAATTATACGGAGTATCTTCCTGACATTTCGTATATAAATACCTCTAACTTTTCATCAATAGCAGCGCTTGCTCAATTCATGAAGGACTTATGTGGAAACGAAGAACAATACGTAAGTTATTTAAAAGAAAAAGACAAATATACAGTGTATGAACGTGAATTTATGTTCAAAGACGCATTATGCAGATTGTGTGAAAAATTAAACAATATTGAAGAGAACAGACGGACATACGGAGACATGTATAAATGGTTAGGCCCGTGTTACGGAGCTAATGATTTGATAACTAACGCTACAAGTTCATTCGACGTTGCAGGATGAATAAAATAAACTACAATCAATGCAAATGATATATTTATAAATGAGTTTCACCGACACTGTTAAAGTCATGAGGCTACGTCACAGCATAAACCGGTCGAGGATCTTAATTAAGTGTCTCTCCGTATTCAGGCAATTGAGCAAAACAATCGGCCTCTGCAAACTAGGTAGATACGAACTTTCTCGCCTGAAAAAATTCACGAAGAATCGAAGTGAGCAGCCTTAACCAAAGGGTCATAAGAAGTTGCTCTGTTTAAAGTATCATGGAGAAGTGTAATCACATGGCAATAGACATAGAGCACCGTGTTCGCTGTCACTCCTATATGGGATAAAAAGGGCTTGTATAGCTTTTATGAGACATTTACTAGTAATATATTGAAATTATATCCTTACTGTTTTAATTTATTTCCTTTGTAGTTTTCTATTCATTCTGTCCGGAATGCAGTTTTATATCTCACGTTCTAATATAATAGTTCTATATTTGTATCAAGGCAAATATAAGCATGCCTTACCCTTCCAAAGATATTTAGCGAAATAAAATAAGACAGTTGACAATTGTTCTCTTTTTATATAAGACATACTGCATGGATACTAATAACCTTTAACCAAGATTCTCGAATAATGTACGTAACAATTGTAACTTCGGTCAACTTTATCCCGTAGTGCAGAGGGTAGGGGATTTAGTGGAAATTTTACCACCTGATCCCTGCATTCCCCGGGAGGGCTGAGGAGCCAAGGTTACAATTTACTGATGTAAAAGATGGAACAGACACATGATTTACAAGCAGAATAAAGAAAATTGATCATATACATAATGCAAACGTAGCAAAGAAATGGAAAAAAGACAATATCAAATAAGACAATATAAATACGATAAACAAATAATTTGGATGGTTTTACACTATCAACATCACTTTACAGTAAATTAAAGAGTATAAAGCTATATATCTGCTGCCATAAGTTTATAAGATCAATGTTTAAATTCTGAAAAAAGTTCTAAAATGCATGTACCTGTTTGAATGAAATATGTTTGTTTATTTCTAACAGACATCTATTCACAAAATCATTACTAAAACAGTTAAAAACCCTTCTTCAAATAGCAGCATTATATTTTGTTCTGGAACATTTAATTCGGTATACAGTAGTAAAATATTCACGTGCATGTGCGTTAAATAACAGAAACACATCATATTACAACTTTTTTTCGAGAATCAACATAAATTTGCCGTTTATAAATTTCATAAAAAAATCCATTAGATACAGTTTTATACACATTATCAAGATGTAATGAAATTGATACTGTGCAAATGAAAGGCATTTATCTTTAAATGAAACAGATGTATGATGATACTAAAATATTGTATAACAGAAGTTTTTGCAACATCAGCGTACAGTTTTCTTATACACGATGTATAATCCTGTTTATATTATCATATTCTAAGTCCAAAGTAAAAGTAAATTCTATGACACAAGTTTTCTTTCTGCCTAAATGAAAATTGTAGCAAACATCCTTCACCTTTAACCTCCGGAACAGTGTGTGATTAGTCTTTTCCACCAGTATAGACCCAGGTCAGTCTCACTATAACCTTCTCAATATTTGTATTTTGTAATTAAAATTCCTTAAACTCTGAATGGACTCCCGACTGTTTCCTTATTCAAGGCAGAGCAAATCCATTACAAAAATTTAGGACAGAGATTAATTTTGTACAGACACCGTCATGTGTGTAATCTATCAAATCTGTCTGAACTTTCTTTAAATTTCAAATCACTGTAAAACTTATGTCACTCTAACAACATTCAACAGTAGAAACTTACATTATATAGAAAAAACACCGGGAAAAAAACAGAAAAAATTTAAAACATCAGTGAATAAAAAAAGAAATGAAAGAAAAATCTAGGTACATTTGTCATATATCAATAATGGGTGACACCAACATATAAGACAGCCACAAATTAAAACGTTAGCTGGAAAATCATTTCATAAGAATAAGTGACTATTATATTCACTATGACATTATAAATATGATAATAGAATAATAGATAAATAATTAAATTTTTTATTATTTTTTATTATCCATTTGAACAAGTTTTTAAACATAAACAGGAGTAAAACATATTTTCTTTAAGGAAACACAGCAGTTAAAACGGCACTTTAGAGATAAGCTCAAATTTCCCATATGTTCTTGAAGGTAAATAAATTAAATTTGAAAATTTGTTTGTATTATTTTGATAAAAACCATACAAATCAACTTAACATAAATTTTTGTAAATTTGAGATAACAGGAGTATCCCATGCAGTAAATTATTGCTAAACCTACTTGAAAGCAAACAAATATTTTGTCAGATATCATTTTTTTCCCATACATGTATCTTGTAGATAGTCCTGTAGATAGATCTAATTGAGTAGAAGTGCAGTGCAAAGAACAGTAAATCTGCCTTGCCTATGTTTGGAATTACAATGTATCACACTTTGAACTTTGTCTGGGACATAACTCTGAAACTATAAAAGATATACTTTTCTGTGTCGAAAACCTAGTCGGGGAGCATCACCCGGTTTAACCCGCCTTTGTTTAAATATATTTCCCAATTTATAATTCTACTCCATTAATAACAACATAAACTTACATCGAAACACAGTATCCATTTCATAAAAACCTGTTTCAAATACCCTACACAAGGTTTAAACACTTAAAGAAACACTTACATAATGAACATTATACGTATTTATAAGCTTGACTACAATCCGTTTTATATGTACATGTCAAAGCAACAAATAATCCTGTTTATAAATTTCCTCATAAACCAGACCAGCTGAAGGATTGAGTATATAACAGACAAAACAATAACAAAACAAAGAGAAAAAGTCAAATACCTAATGTATTCCATATAACGCAAACAAAAATTTTATACATATATACACGTTTTTCTTAGAATGAAAATCATTAAGTTATCAATACATAATGCCTAGGAGAGCCAAAAAAGATATAAAATTTATACTGAATCAAAAATGAAGCTACACATAGGAACTTGTAAAAAAGCACAAATATTTAAAGTAATGATATGCAAATTGTAAAGTTAATTAGCAAAGAACCATGCTTTCACTTAAAATCAAGTCATATAATATAACATGATCAAAATTTGACTATAATATTTTAACATACAGCTTGATCATCTTGAATGTATTACCGTAAGTGTAGATGTGATGGGGCACTTTCTGTTTTGTTTTTCTTAAACTGGATTAATTTGATTTGTATCCAAGTTTATAGACAATCTTTTATCATATTTTTTTTCATTTAAAAAAAGAAGAAAAGTAAGCTTAACCAGAGGTCAGGATAAAAAACAAATAATAATATATTTCTTTAATAATGAACACATCATGTTTATTTATGTCATGATCTTTTTCAAAGTTCGATTCAACTCCTTCTTTCTTAGTTTTATATTTATCATCTTCAGTATCTTATGATACAAAAATCTTTCCCCACTTTTTCATTTAGATTACATTTTTACTTATTTCCTACATATGGTTAGAATAATGAGCATTGTAGTCACATGGCAACCTTATACAGCCGTACTAGTCTAATTAAACCACAGGTGACTTATGATTTAACATATTTGAGCTGAGAAGGTAACCAGCATAATTATTTTAATGTTTTGGTATTGCTTCCTTTTCCCAGATACTCGCGCCAGTGCGAGTTATTTCAGACACAAGCCTGTGTAGACATTGTGCAGTTTGTACAGCCGTTTTACAGTACTAATCAACCACAGTGACTTATAGGTCATATGATCTGTGACGTTCCAGCATAATTATTTGGTGGATTTGAAACCTTTTCAGGTGCACTTCCAGTGCATTATTTCAGACACAAGTCTGTGTAGAATTGTGCAACTTTAGTTAGCTAGACAGATTACATCTTTGCTTAAAGAATCAAGTCTCTGGCTTGATTTGAACCCACAGTGGTGAGAGGCAAAAGATTCAATGTACTCTAACCAATCAGACACAGATGCAAGTATTCAATTTACACAACTTATATTACCAACATTCACTAATTTTATAAATGAATATAGAGTTATTGTTAGGTTGCATTTTTTCTTAGTTGAACAAATATGTTCTATTTTCACTGTGCACTGGGATAACTGTGGGCTGAATCAGTCTCCTCATCTTGTTGAATTGCCTCCCTTGATGTAGGTGTAAAATGATGGGAGTGCTCCCATAATCTGAGTTTAGCCACAAGAGGCTGGCCGAGGTTCACACGTCTTTGTAAGAAATATTGAGTGTTATTCATGAAAAATGTGATCGTAACATCTACAATTAAGTTTTCCTGAAATGTAAAAGAAATATATACGACTGATACTATTTTACAATAACTTTAATAAATATAATGTTTGTTCAAGGCAGCAAAACTCATTTAAAGATCCTGTGACTTATTCTTTTCAATGTAATCTTAAATAATCATTTACTATGCTAAAAATAAACTATTCATTGAAAAGATTCTCTTTTGTTTCCATGCTTAACATGCAATACATCTTATGATGACTGATAGATATCTAAATTAGAGTACCATCACCACTTTGGTTAAAAAATATAGCGACATTCCAGCTTTACAGGTGGAGGGAGACCACTTGTGCATCTCTGTATTATATAAGGCATGAGTGGGTACTGCATGGGTACTAAATTAGAACCAGATTTTCAATCAGTAAGCCGGGTAGTTCAGCATGAAAATATTCAAACTTTCCATATTGCCACTGCTTAAAGACTGATAATTTGATAAAAAGATCTTATGCAAACCTTCAACTTTTGTATATCTTGTAAAGATATTTTTGTCACCACTCGACTGTATTGTTTAAACTCATCTACTTTTCCTTGCTGAGAAATGGGCTGAAAAAGATACAGTGATAAATTAGACATCTTTATTTTAAATTCACACTTTTTCTCTTATCTCAATTAAAATGGCAGATTTTTTTTCTCAATTTTACATTTTTAAAACTAAAGTGCATAACATGTTTAAGTTTTAAGCGTTTATTGGTAGGTAATAATCACCAAAATAGAATAGAATAAATTACTTATTGATGGTTACAATACTAACATAAGTAAAAGAGTAAAACTGACTGAATATACATATGAATACAAGTACTTATATCGAAAATGTTACAATTTTTTCAATTTTGGGATTTTTGTTTCCTAATTACAGGGGAAAAAATAAACAAAATTATCAAATCAACTTACTGGTGAGAAGTTTGTAATTTTCCCTATGCAGCTCTGTGTTCTGCCGTGGTCTATCACTGTAGTAAACACATGTAATACATTGGAAAATTCTGCCTGAAAATCTAGCTCGATCACAACACCCACTTCCTCAAAATGTATTGTTTGCTTGTCTGGTTTTTCTACAATATATAAGTAATAAGATTTCAAAATGGTCTAGATTTGCTTCCATGGATCTGTGCCTATCATGTCTAGATAATCACAGAAAACAAGTTAGTGTGTGAAGTTTCAACCCATTACATTCAGTAGTTTTGGAGATACCAACTTTAATCCAAAAACTTAACCAAAGTGTGATGCCTGCAGCACAAGAGTACAATACTTTCCCTAATCTTCAAAAAATCAAGCTAAAAATTGTATTTTGAATTACAAAATGTACTTTACTGTTATATAATTCTTTACCATGTATGAAAATTGGCAAACTATATATATTTCATATATACAGCTGTATATATTAATCAAAAGGGCAAACTAATTATTTCTATAAACACTGATAAATACTTACGATGGGCAGCATTCCATTTGATATCTCTTTGTTGAAATGCTTCAGTTTGACCTTTCTTTGATATTTTATCTGTCAGTGACCTCTGATTCTCCAGTAAATTTGACACAAGCTCGGGTATCTGTATTTTACTGTGTTTATGTACCCTGGCAAATTCTGGGACAAAAAACATGCACAGCTATTAATATATTAATAAATTAACATTAAAAGAACCATATAACACTAAAATGCATTCTGTTTAGATGATCATATTAATGTATTGAAAAGGTTTTATTTTGTAATAAATTAAGTACAAAGTAATTCCTCATCAAAGATTCAAAGTCCTAACGTCATTGTAAATTTTTACAGTATGATTGATTTATTATGAATAAAAAGTATTTTCTATTCATTCTTTACTGAAATCTGTTAGCCATTTATTATGTGTGACAAAGTATACTTGTATATCATTTATTCTGTAAGTAAATGTATTGATCTAAATGTATTTATAATTTATTTTCTATATATCATGCTAACATACCTCCTTTAACATCTGACACTAAAGCATCAATGCCAATATTTTTACGCAACAATGGTGACAAATGATTTACTAAAAGTCCTCCATTCTTGTTCTCATACGCTGCTAAGCCAACACTCCTAAAACCACAAAAGTTAAAACATCTCCATGTAAAACAATCTTTTCAGTAGATTACTGATATTTATTTTAACAGTAGATAATATATGATAATGAACATCTGCCTCGCTCAAACGCTCACCTTCCAGCACATCTATAAATTCATTTAAACAGCAATTTATATCAAGTTTTGACAGCCATAGAAGGGGCATTTTTTTTAGATAAAACTTTCCTATTACTGGTTTGTATCTTATTGAACTCCATCTGTACTTTGTATAATGTTTTCAAATCTGTTTCCTCAGGAGTTATCCTTGTTTTTAAGGATCAATCCCTAAATGTATAAAAATAGCAGTTTTATGCAACAGTTAAATTTGACTTGTATTTTTTCATATAACTTGTGAATACTTAATGATATTCAACTTATTGACCACTTCTAAAAGTTACTATCAGGAAACAATGACAACCCACCAATCAACTGACTGGTGCATTAATGTTCCAAGAAATGACATTAATTCATGTAAAATATAAGTCGTTAGATAAAAACACACAAGAAACTAAAGTACTATAACATGGTGTTGAAATATAACTTACGTTGCATAGCAAAATACTGTATTGCCTCTGTTTGTTTTAGGAACAAATTGTGGAACTCTTGTTGACTTTACTTTTGGTCTGTAAATAGAGAAAACAGATCAATACTTATTATACTGTATATGTAGTCTGTAAATAGAGAAAACACATCATTTATATTATTATATAGTCTGTAAATAGAGAAAACACATCAATTATATATGTAAAGTTTTTTTTCTTTCATTTTTCTCATTTCAGATGGGTTTAACATCACACCAAGAGTTTCAAGGTCATATGATGACTTGTAGCTTTCAATACAGGAGAAGAAAGACAGCATTATTCCAGGCATAAGTTAGCACCTGAGAAGAACCACAAACCTTCATTAAATAACTTCTCACATTAAAAGATGAAAAATTTCTCACAGGAGTTGGTGTTATCATGATAAGTGATAGAAAGTCAGTGACCTCATCCTCTATACTATAGTAGCCCTAATTAATTAATGAAACTCTGAAACTACTGTCTATCTCAATATTCAGAAAACACTTCACCTAACTAAACATTCATGTATGACATTGTAACAACAGTTAGAAACTTCTATGATGCAATCACATCCAACAAGAATACAATATATTTTACACCAATGGAGGCTTAAATTTGATTAAAAAGTTTATATTTAAATGGCATCCAGTCAATTGTAACAACAGCCCTACCATTCCTGAGGAGAGGGTTGGACTCGGCCCCTCCCTAAATGGACAGTCAAATGGTAAAATCTCTACTAAAAAGTCCTTACTTATAATTACTAGAACACATTCCCATTCTTGGCACCAGAACAAAACCACCATATTGTTCAGGCAGAATGGCAACCAATGTGGAAGTTAAAAGCTCATTTCCCGATGTAACAAGTGGAGGGCCAAGGTTACCACTGACTGATGCATTGGTCTAAGTCAAAGAAATGGAAACATAAAAATGGAGGGTAAATTTGATATGTTCACAGCTCTGCTCATAACTATCTTTAGATTCATATTCTATTTTTCAATTTAACTTAACAGACATGAGGTTTGTACTTGTAACAATCTTAAACTATCAACTTACTCTTGTCTACATATATCTAATATCATAAATATAACTGGTGGCTCCTTTTTCTGTATATTAGCCAGAATTTCCTGCGCACAAACGCACTCTTGGGCGGTGTAAGCTGCAGGGGCATCAGTCGGCACAAGATATGACATCCCGTGTTCTTCAAAACCATGTCCACAAAAGTAGAAAACGGCATACACATTTTCACCCAACAACTCTTTAAAATGTAACACAGCATTCTCTATCTCTGGTTTTGTGAGATTCAAAAGGGAGACAACTCTGAAATCCAATGCACGAAATGACTCAGAAAGCATCTGCACATCTATAGTTGATGCATTTAAAGGTGTCTCACTCTTATAGTCCGAGTTACCAATAAGTAAGGCCACTTTATCTGAAGCTGTGGGGGAAAAAATGTGAAGAAATTAAACATATTGCATCTACACAGAAACAACTTGATAGTTAAGACTACAAACATATACATGTATAGAAATATTTTCAAATATAGGTGATGAGTCTAGGAGTGCATAAATGTACAGTTTTGATAGCATAGTGCCACTGATTTCATTTGAATTTGCAGAAAATCCACACCATATTTAGTTTACTAACTATAGCTCTAACTATATTTTAGGAATCCGATTAAACCTAATAAGTTTTACCTACTTAAACACTTAACAATAAATATAATAAAAATAATTATCAGCTATTTTGTTTATTGTTTAATATTACATGCATATATATATTATTTAGATCTGATATTGCCATATATTGATAACTTACGATTGTATTCAATATTATCTCTCACATGAGGTATCTCTACTGTCAACAAGGCGCCCATCGTCATTCTTCTAGGCATGTTTTCATCTCTGATGTCAACAGAAATCTCACACTGGTAAAATCCCTCAACTCTACGATCTTGAATATTCATAAACTTGATCTCTGATGACACCTCACCTAAATAATTGAATTGATAAATTGATTTAATAGAAATTATTGACTGTTAGTTCCAAGAAACTAGTTACATACTGGTAAGTGATACTGCCAAGCTGATATGTTTAATCAAAATTACAATGTACTTAAAAACCTTTGAAGAGAGTAACTTATAAATCTACAAAAATCTGATCACTGATGATGTTTTTGAAGATTTACATTTCTGTTGAATGTTACCACGACAACAGTGTTTTACAGTGGTATAAATTCTTTAAAATGAAAAAAAGCCTCACAGAAATATTGTTCAGTTGAAGGCTAGTTGGTCTTGCCTACAAACAAGATGTATAATTATAAAACACACAGACAATAACTAACCACCAGTGATCACAATAAAATTAAGATTAAAACAAACATGCTATTCTTTGGCATAAGAAACATAATATAAGATTACCTTGAAGAGGCATTCCATCTTTGAACCACTGATATTTTAGAGGTTCACTGCACCTAGCTTCACAACTGAACAATGCACACCCTCCAAACTTTACTGACACAGATTTTGGTTGTGACACTAACAGTATTTCTGTAATACACAAAATATTCTGCAATGCTTAGAGAACTTGTGGCAATATAACAAGATGACATTTAATAAATTGTAATCCTCCCCCCACCCACTCTCTTCGGCAATGTAGAGAAAAGCAGAACATAACAGCCCCCTACTCTCCTCAGCAATGTAGAGAAAAGCAGAACATAACAGCCCCCTACTCTCCTCAGCAATGTCGAGAAAAGCAGAACATAACAGCTCCCTACTCTCCTCGGCAATGTAGAGAAAAGCAGAACATAACAGCCCCCTACTCTCCTCGGCAATGTAGAGAAAAGCAGAACATAACAACCCCCTACTCTTCTCAGCAATGTAGAGAAAAGCAGAACATAACAGCCCCCTACTCTCCTCGGCAATGTAGAGAAAAGCAGAACATAACAGCCCCCTACTCCCCTCGGCAATGTATAGAAAAGCAGAACATAACAGCTAAGTTGTATCCTGCTATCTGTCCCTGCACCTTCTTTTAATGGGATTGTTTTGAAATGGTGAATACAAAGTGTTGTGCTGGAAAATGTTTTATAATTTAACCTTTCCAATAGGGCTGTGTCTTTACAAAGACTTTGATAATTTAAAAGTCAAAGCACTCTATACATTTTTAGTTTTACAATTACAGTCAACTATCGTTATCTCGACATTGCTTTTCTCAATATTTCGTTATCTTGATGAAATTTTGAAAGTCCCGATTTTCTTCCTTCTTTATCTATATTGGAAATATTTGTTTATCTCGATATTTTTATTTCGATATTTTCAGTATCTCGATGTACAATTTCAGCCCCAACAGATATTTTCAACTATTATCCTTTGTTTATCTCGACTTATAGTTTTCTTTCCCCTGTTCCCTTCAGACGTGTGAAAAACACAAACTAGACCATAATTGCTTAATAGCGCGTGTCATAATGATGATTATGTTTGTAACATGTTTAGCTGTTTTTATAAAAGTTAAACTATTTAGGGTGTTAATTGACATATGTCCAAAATGAGTGAATTTTACGTTCTTTATAAATATTCGAACACTGTATCAATTCATTTTGACTTTAAAAGTAAATGAAATAGTGAAAGTATAGAAACGCTATCTTTGCAATATTTTTTCACAACATCACCACCAAATCAATCAGCGGTCGAACAACATCGAAAAAGACCCGATAAATAACCGGGGAGTATATCCGGATCAACCACCCTGAAAACAATGTTTTCAATATATTGGTGTATTACTGAGTAAACCTCACTATGTGTTTTTATCACAAAAACCCGTATTTCCGCTGGTAAACATCGACTAATGTTACTTTGTAAAAAATTTACTAGGCCTATGAAAACAAGACATGGGGATATCATAGTTTATTTGACATAAGGTATGCACATGTCCTTTGTAAAAATCAGTTTCTGCCTTATACAAACCCTAATATGTTTATCTCGACATTTCGTTATCTCGATATTTTTTGGACGGTCCCGATGACGGTCCCGATGACTTCGAGATAACGAGAGTCGACTGTAGTAACTTTATTTCAATCTATTGATCTGTGGGGAAAATTCCAGTCAACGTTACCTGGTTACTTAGTTGATTCAAAGGAAAAAGTTGTTAATATTTTATAAAAATAAAATGTTACTAAATAAAGACATACTAAATCTAAATAAATTAATATCACTTACCAACATTCCGCTCAGGTTTGGGAAATTTTTCTACAACAAGAACAGCAAAGGGTTAGCATAATTAGCTTTTTTTGTTACTATAACACTTTAGCTTATAAATAAACAATGTACATGTATGACTACAGCACACTTCACAGTTTAATTAACATGGCTTGTGATGACTTATGAGTTATCTTAGAAAACAATCCATTCAAAATATTTGTATTTGAAGACCTAACTAATAAATACTCAAGTAGCTACGGAGACAAAAGGTAAAAGTATATCTGAGATGATATGCATTGTTTCTCCTAAGAGGTTATTTCTAAATTCATCAATATATCACAACTTTCACATACATTTAATCAATTATACCTTTGACATATGCTGTGTTACTTTGCTCAGTCTTATATCCATTTTTGACAACACAATAATACTTGGCAAAGTCTAATATTGATGCATGCTGAACCTGTAATGTTAGAAACACATCACTCATATAATCTAACAAAAATCAACAAGCAATAAACATACTTCCTTTAACCCTTAACCAACTGAATATCTGAAATGGACTTGCCTATCTTTCAATTTGGACAAAACCATTCATCAATTTTTGGGAATTTTTAAAATATGTACAGACTGAACAGTGCAAACAGAGTGCCGATTATTCTTGGTCTGCACTGGTTGCATGGAAAGATTCAGTCACCACCAAAAAGCTAAGGGTTAAAATCAACTCTTGTTTTCAAATTCAGGATAAAATGTCTTGTTTGCTTATCAAGTGACCATTTTTTTGCCATACTGTACAGAGTAATAAAACTAACTAATCACTAGTCTGATTTACCAGAAATGCTATGACTTCATCTTTTGATTTTTTCTGACTCTAAGTCAACAATTTTTGATGATTAAATGGTAATAATTACAGACATCACTTCAAGAACAATTTATGTTATACATGTACATATACATTTGTATCTCAACCTGAGATATTTCCTTTTGATATAATACATTTGTAATGTCATACTTACAGAAAGTTTTGACCAGACTTCTCCTTCAAGTTTCAAACCATTCCTGTACCACTGATAAGAGATTGGTGGATTTCCTGATGTCTGTACAGACAATACAAACGGTTCATTCATTCCTACTAGAACATCCCTCGGGTGACCAATAATTAGACTGTAGCTCACAGAACAACCTGGAAAAATACAAAAAGAACACACAATCAAAACCCCCTTATATTAGAAACTCCATATGTCAACAATAGATATAAGGCTGATAATATTAAACTGTAAACCTCCGCTTTATCTATTTTGTTTAAAGTTGCAGTAACATTGGAAAGGTTCTGTAGCAACATTTTAAGGTTAGAATTGAGAAAGTACTGATAATATGAACACCACATTCCCGCTGGACTGCTTGAAGGAAATATATAGTGCCCATTCATGCATTAATTCTGCCATGAGCCAACAATGTTCCAAATGCTAACTGGATAGCTTCCTCACATAAAAGAATCCAAAGTCACTTTAGAATGACCTTCCTCTAGTCAAGACAGTTAAGGATGAGTCTTAATTATTTCCTTGATAAATATGGAATACTGTTAACTTACATCTTTTATCAAATGTGTCGTCAAGTCTTGGCATAAGATCAGCTGGAGCTGGAAGTGTATGCCCTATAAAAATCAATCTTAGTATCAGTATATATCTGATGGAATAAAAGAGACCTACTTTATTGAATTACAGTATTGTTAACAAATAAAACAACTCCTAAGTAGCACTTAGCATTTAGCTTCATTTTTCTAGTCAATAATGATAAAAATACCATAAAATGTCCTCCCTTTATATTTAATAAAGGAGGACAAAAGCAAATCACTAAGCCACATAATGTTTGCTCTATAAAGCTTACATATAATCTTTAAGTTACATGGCATATATATACATGCAGTAAAACTGTAAAGGTCTGTAGGACAATGATTTTGTCCTTGATTAGAAACAAAAGATGCATCCCCAAGAAAATTTTGGAAACAAAAGATGCAGCCCCAAAGGAAATTTTTGGAAACAATAGATGCACCCCCAAGAAAAATTTTGGAAACAAAAGATACATCCCAAAGAAAATTTTGGAAACAAAAGATACATCCCAAAGAAAATTTTGGAAACAAAAGATGCATCCCCAAGAAAAGTTTTGGAACAATAGAACCCCCCCAACAAAAAAAAATAAAATAAATAAATTTGGAAACAAAAGATACACCCCCAGAATTTTTTTGGAAACAAAAGATGCACCTCCAAGAAGTTTTGGAAACAAAAGATGCTCCCCCAAGAAAGCTTTGGAAACAGTTGACCTTTTTGAAAACTTAGCTAAACACCATTTTCCGGTATGTTAAGGATTTAGCTCTGGGGAATTACACCAAATGAAGTACATAACACAATTACCTTTATTATTCTTATTATTTTTCTATCATTATTTTACCGTTTACTCCTAAAGCAATTTGTAAGAAACAAGAGAAGTTTCCAAAAAAAAATGAATGGTAACAATAGATGGTTCCAAAATTAAAAAGTATCAGCATACCATTGAATAAAAAAAGGTTGGATAGGGATATGATTTGATAATATTGAAACTGAGTGAAGAAAAAAAACAACCCTCTGATAAAAGTCATCACATAACTAAAACTACACATGTGTTCAAAAACTCAAAATGTTTTACCAATTTGATTGTACAGATATATAACATCATCCCTGCTAGGCGGATTAAGACCGGAGTGTATTGGCATTGGGTTGGGAATCACTGACACTAAAGTGTGGTCTGTAATCTTTGTCTTCTTTGGATCTCGGCAGTTTGACAGCCGACATGCATATGTTCCAGCATTAGCAGATCTGAAAATAAAAATTACAATCTGATATATAAATATCTCTCTATACACGATATAATGACACAACTGATATGATTAAGAAATCTGTCAAATCCAAAAAGTTTTGCCTTATAACTGTATATGTATATATATAATAACAGTAACTTCAAACAAACATTAACATCTGTTTTTGGCATCAGATAAGCATAATCTGATACTGACAACATAAACAATAAAACTGACAAATTACCCTTATGTATACATAATCTGAAAATGGTAACATAAACATTAAATTGGACAATTTACCACTATACATGTATAAAGAATCTGTCAATATAAGGAACATACAATGTATGAATATAAAAACTGACACTGGTCACAAGAATGCAAAATATCACAATTACAACAAAACAATACATAGAATATGACATGAGCTATATAAAAACTCAGACTTTTATATCAATGCCAAAAACATAGAATTGACATTGACCTTATAAGCATAGAGTTTAGAATCATACATTGTCCACATAAACTCTGAATTGACCATTCACCACATAAATGCCTAATCTCACATTGGCCACATAAACAATAAACACAGAGGAATCTGTCAAAAGTAAATAAAGAATCTACCATTGACCACATACTAGTAAACACAGAATCTGACATTGTGATGTCACAACATCAACACAGAATCTGACATTGAGTTGTCACAACATAAACACAGAATCTGACATTGAGTTGTCACAACATAAACACAGAATCTGACATTGTGTTGTCACAACATCAACACAGAATCTGACATTGTGATGTCACAACATAAACACAGAATCTGACATTGAGTTGTCACAACATCAACACAGAATCTGACATTGAGTTGTCACAACATAAACACAGAATCTGACATTGAGTTGTCACAACATCAACACAGAATCTGACATTGAGTTGTCACAACATAAACACAGAATCTGACATTGTGATGTCACAACATCAACACAGAATCTGACATTGTGATGTCACAACATCAACACAGAATCTGACATTGTGATGTCATAACATAAACACAGAATCTGACATTGAGTTGTCACAACATCAACACAGAATCTGACATTGTGATGTCACAACATCAACACAGAATCTGACATTGTGATGTCACAACATAAACACAGAATCTGACATTGAGTTGTCACAACATCAACACAGAATCTGACATTGAGTTGTCATAACATAAACACAGAATCTGACATTGTGATGTCACAACATCAACACAGAATCTGACATTGTGATGTCACAACATCAACACAGAATCTGACATTGAGTTGTCATAACATAAACACAGAATCTGACATTGTGTTGTCACAACATCAACACAGAATCTGACATTTTGTTGTTACAACATAAACACAGAATCTGACATTGAGTTGTCACAACATCAACACAGAATCTGACATTTAGCAGTGACATGATCACAGAAATCTGTCAATTTGACATAAGTGCATGAAAATAGAATGTTACATCCGATACATCAATACAGTATTGACTAAATAAATACCATATCACAGATTTACTTTTCAAATGCCTTTAAAATGAAAATAGTAAAATAACAAATTTAAGGTTTCCATACGTAGCATCATTTAGTCTCAATACTTTCTCTGTTCTTCCAACAAGTTTCTTAAAGTCATCCTCCCCGTTCTGACAGAAGAACCACTGGTATGTTGGGTATGGCTGACCTGTAGCATCTATTTGTATCACTAATGGATCACCTTCATACACCTCTAACTCAGCCGGGGGTGTTTTAATAATCTGAATGTCCACTGAAAACAATATGCTAATTAAGAATGTAAAGATCTACAGTGATTATTATTTTACACCAACTTTATAATTATTCACAAGTGTAATGTAACTTAATGAAATTTTCCAAATTCTACCACATAATGTCATGTTAAAAATCCCAAAAACTTCCTAATCATGCATATACATGTTTATATCATAGTGTAACTTTGTTTCCATGTAATGTTACCATTACATATTTCTTTATAAAGTAACTTAAAGTGCCATTCTGACTGTTGTTTTTCACTGTTATTAATGCATTCTTAATATCATTCTGCACCTACATGTATATAGCCAGTGAAAAAAATATTATGTCTGTTATGCCTCTACTAAATCCCTACTCGACAGACCAAACATGCATACTTTGAAGTAGTATCTCCCTGTTTTTAGAGTTAAATCTCCTTACTTGGCCTTGGTAAACAGTCCACAAAGCATTTTCATATTTGGAACATAAAGTATCAAGTACAAGATTTAAAAGGGTTGCAATAATAAACATTGAACATTAACAAACCTGGAGGTGACAATTTTAAAGCGCAGGTATCAACCTCAATGGTATTTAAGTAGTTTATTAATTTTTTAACTGTCATCCCCTGTGAGCTGAGTTCTGTAAGCAACTTTGCCGAGGCACTACCAGTTGATAAAGCTGGAGACCACAATTCAATCATGGAAGGCCTGCAAGAATAAATATAGCACTTATTTCAAAGTCTTGATACATTTAAGTTACTTTAACCCTACAACATTCTGAATTCTTTAATAGCCTTGTCCAGTTTCCATTTTTGAAACTGTACATTTTATATTCCAGATATATCAAGATGAAAATCAATTCAAAGTTAGCAAGCCAACAGAAAAGAACCTGGTCAGACTGCACAGATGTACACGCTTGCTCTATACTGGTGGCTTTATGGCTCATCACTTTCAATTCCAGCAAATTAAGGGTTTATCTTCAGCTTTACTTATATAAGATAAATATGCAACCACTGACATCTGCTTTAGATAATTAACTTGGTTGTCTAGAGCACTATGTTAATATGTCTATAACCATGTGGTCTAACACTTAAAACAGGATTTTTAAAATTGTAACAATTTAATACTTAATGCAATAACTATGACTTTTAAAAGCTCATACTTTATTCGATATTCTTTTTCGACAGCACGAGCAAGAGCTCTCCAGTCTTTGTCAGCTGGATTAGTATCAAGTTTATCTCTGAGTTCGCTAAATATTTTTGCAGGCAATTCAACGATGCTATCATTTAAATCAATGCCATTTTTCAGGCCAAACTCTCCTTTTCCTGGCATTTCTGCTCTTTTCCCTGAAAATTTAGAATAAATGATGGAAATTTCTTTGCATGAATTAATCATTATTCTGAAAGTCTAAAAATTTACAGTAACTTTAGTAAATTGCTGAAATTCTTTATTTCATTAGCAAACAGTAGAACCATCTACCTACCTCTTTAGTCACTGTCTACAGACATTAGAACCATCTACCTACCTCTTAAGTCACTGCCTACAGACAGTAGAACCATCTACCTACCTCTTTAGTCACTGTCTACAGACAGTAGAACCATCTACCTACCTCTTTAGTCTCTGTCTACAGACAGTAGAACCATCTACCTACCTCTTTAGTCACTGTCTACAGACAGATTGAACCATCTACCTACCTCTTTAGTCACTGTCTACAGACAGATTGAACCATCTACCTACCTCTTTAGTCTCTGTCTACAGACAGTAGAACCATCTACCTACCTCTTTAGTCACTGTCTACAGACAGTAGAACCATCTACCTACCTCTTTAGTCACTGTCTACAGACAGATTGAACCATCTACCTACCTCTTTAGTCACTGTCTACAGACAGATTGAACCATCTACCTACCTCTTTAGTCACTGTCTACAGACAGTAGAACCATCTACCTACCTCTTTAGTCACTGTCTACAGACAGTAGAACCATCTACCTACCTCTTAAGTCACTGTCTACAGACAGTAGAACCATCTACCTACCTCTTTAGTCTCGTTTACAGACAGTAAAACCATCTACCTACCTCTTTAGTCACTGTCTACAGACAGTAGAACCATCTACCTACCTCTTTAGTCACTGTCTACAGACAGTAGAACCATCTACCTACCTCTTTAGTCACTGTCTACAGACAGTAGAACCATCTACCTACCTCTTTAGTCTCTGTCTACAGACAGATTGAACCATCTACCTACCTCTTTAGTCTCCGTCTACAGACAGTAGAACCATCTACCTACCTCTTTAGTCTCTGTCTACAGACAGTAGAACCATCTACCTACCTCTTTAGTCTCTGTCTACAGACAGATTTAGAACCATCTACCTACCTCTTTAGTCTCTGTCTACAGACAGATTGAACCATCTACCTACCTCTTTAGTCACTGTCTACAGACAGATTGAACCATCTACCTACCTCTTTAGTCACTGTCTACAGACAGATTGAACCATCTACCTACCTCTTTAGTCTCTGTCTACAGACAGTAGAACCATCTACCTACCTCTTTAGTCACTGTCTACAGACAGTAGAACCATCTACCTTCCTCTTTAGTCACTGTCTACAGACAGATTGAACCATCTACCTACCTCTTTAGTCTCTGTCTACAGACAGTAGAACCATCTACCTACCTCTTTAGTCACTGTCTACAGACAGATTGAACCATCTACCTACCTCTTTAGTCACTGTCTACAGACAGTAGAACCATCTACCTACCTCTTTAGTCACTGTCTACAGACAGTAGAACCATCTACCTACCTCTTTAGTCTCTGTCTACAGACAGTAGAACCATCTACCTACCTCTTTAGTCACTGTCTACAGACAGTAGAACCATCTACCTACCTCTTTAGTCTCTGTCTACAGACAGTAGAACCATCTACCTACCTCTTAAGTCTCTGTCTACAGACAGTAGAACCATCTACCTACCTCTTTAGTCTCTGTCTACAGACAGATTGCATCATCTACCTACCTCTTTAGTCACTGTCTACAGACAGATTGAAACCATCTACCTACCTCTTTAGTCTCTGTCTACAGACAGTAGAACCATCTACCTACCTCTTTAGTCACTGTCTACAGACAGTAGAACCATCTACCTACCTCTTTAGTCACTGTCTACAGACAGTAGAACCATCTACCTACCTCTTTAGTCTCTGTCTACAGACAGATTGAACCATCTACCTACCTCTTTAGTCTCTGTCTACAGACAGATCTACAAACAGATTGAACCATCTACCTACCTCTTTAGTCACTGTCTACAGACAGATTGAACCATCTACCTACCTCTTTAGTCTCTGTCTACAGACAGTAGAACCATCTACCTACCTCTTTAGTCACTGTCTACAGACAGTAGAACCATCTACCTACCTCTTTAGTCACTGTCTACAGACAGTAGAACCATCTACCTTCCTCTTTAGTCTCTGTCTACAGACAGATTGAACCATCTACCTACCTCTTTAGTCTCTGTCTACAGACAGTAGAACCATCTACCTACCTCTTAAGTCACTGTCTACAGACAGTAGAACCATCTACCTACCTCTTTAGTCACTGTCTACAGACAGATTAGAACCATCTACCTACCTCTTTAGTCTCTGTCTACAGACAGATTGAACCATCTACCTACCTCTTTAGTCACTGTCTACAGACAGTAGAACCATCTACCTACCTCTTTAGTCACTGTCTACAGACAGTAGAACCATCTACCTACCTCTTTAGTCTCTGTCTACAGACAGATTGAACCATCTACCTACCTCTTTAGTCACTGTCTACAGACAGATTGAACCATCTACCTACCTCTTTAGTCACTGTCTACAGACAGTAGAACCATCTACCTACCTCTTTAGTCACTGTCTACAGACAGTAGAAACCATCTCCTACCTCTTTAGTCACTGTCTACAGACAGTAAAAACCATCTACCTACCTCTTTAGTCTCTGTCTACAGACAGATTCCCAAAACCATCTACCTACCTCTTTAGTCACTGTCTACAGACAGATTTGAACATCTACCTACCTCTTTAGTCACTGTCTACAGACAGTAGAACCATCTACCTACCTCTTTAGTCTCTGTCTACAGACAGTAGAACCATCTACCTACCTCTTTAGTCTCTGTCTACAGACAGATTGCATCATTCAAAGCTTTACCATGTTTACAGTTTGTAAAAACATATTGTAACTATAAATTTCTATAAAAAACATTACATTGTTATTAATTTCCACACTGTTGACTGTTTACACCCTATTTTTAAGCAAATCATAAATGGACTTTACAGTTTTAATAAGTAAAAATTATAAAACAGTACATGTATTGAAATCTAATACAAATGTACATGAACAGTGGCACCATTTGTACTGATCTACTAGATGGGTGAATATATTCTTTTTAACTTAACAGTGTAAACTGTAATCCAAGAAAGAATCAACCTAAAACTTGTTCAGATTTCCATATCCTCCCCTGTATGTACAAGCAAGATTCTGACCCAGAGCAAAAATATCTCAGATTCTATAACATTGGCATATCACTATAATATTTTCATTAATTTGACTACATTATACCCTAAAGTTGCACAGAAAATTTTACTGATTAAAATTACTACATGTATTTTTGTATCAATTCTTTAAAGTGCCACTGTGAACCTTAGTATCAATTTATCTTATTTATAGGATAATACGTTCGCACTTCCTTTATTCTTTGATAGTACTTAGATAGTGCAGTACTACTTTATAGTTATTAAAAAGTACATTTGTATTGGTCATCTTTAGATCATTGTATTAAATGTTTCTAATATAAACTATATTGTAAATGTTGAAATATTTCAAATGTTATAATTTATACATGTATTTATCATCTGTAAATTATGTTGTAGTTTCATTTGTATGTTAACTGTACTGGTTTGGGACCTACAAAACCAGACAACCACCAAACCCTAACGGCCGGTTTTGTATGATTAATTTTTTTCTTTTTTGTTCAATGGTTGAAGATCTATCAGTGGCAAAATACATGTTTATGCTATAATTAAGTTTTTTTTTTCCAACATTCATAAATGTAAATAGTTTAATTCTATTTCAAGAATGTTGATGTTGAAAATTTGGGTGTCAAGATTGCAATACCTGACCTCTTATACTAGCTATAATCTTTTTCGGAGTTAGCAATAAGAATATCAAAAACTTCAGCATCTGTGCTGAAATATTGTATATCATGTTAAAAATATAAATTAAAACACCCAAGTTTTATCTTAATTAAATCAACGTCATGTACATATCTGTCCGAACACATGGTAACTGTAGTGTTGACAATTCAGGTAATTTTGATACCCTAATTGATGGGACTCTGATATAAGTATCAACATAATCAGACATTATAAAACACTTTTTAACTAGTTTATTAGTTAGGAGAAGGAATTATGGTGGTTTCGTCGAACTACCGGTTCGGTGAACATAATTTATGAAGGGGTGCAAAAGTGGTTCGTCAATCTTATGTTATATACAAGTGTATTATGTAGTAATTAAAGGCAAAGTAGACATGGTTCATATACATGTATATAAAGTGTTTTATCATCAATATTTTGTTATAATTAAATTATGACGCAAAGTCATTAATGAATATAACAAATATATTGTACAAGTATGTCTATATATTATACGTATTTTGATAATAATATGTTCGTTATTTTTGAGAGAGAAAAAAAAAAAAAAAATAGAAAAAAATATTATTTTGTTTGCAAATTTTAAATCATTATCAGTTTTTTTCAGGTTTTACTTATGTACGTATATATTTTCTATGATGTTGTTTGTTCACTGAGATCTTTTATATTGTGGTATGCTTTAATGTAAATATTACTATCATACTAATACCCCGGTCACATATTCACGGAATACGCCCACGGAAGAGCCACGGATTAATTCCGGCATCGTCCGTAGCTACCCGTACTGGTCAGTAGCTCTCCGTATTGTAACCGTAATCAATCGTAGTAGTCCTTGTATATCCGTAGCAATCCTTGACAATTTTTGAACATGCACAAAAATTTGCTACGGAAAAATCAACCGTAGCGTATCCCTTCTAGTCCGTATTAAACCGTATTGATACGTACTGGTCCGTACGGAAACCGTACAAGTCCGTACTGATTCGTAGTCCACCAACTTGTCAAGGATTTCCACGGTTTGGTACGGAGAACTACGTATTTGTACGGTAACCCTACGTATAAGCTACGGTTTTAATACGGATTAATACGGCATTGTCACGGAAAGCCACGATCGTAATACGTTGTACTACGGAGGGGCAGGGATTAGCACGGTCTTATACGGTTTATTGCGTTGCAACACGAAACGGCACGGAATGGTACGGTCCACCACTGTTTAATACGGATAAATTAAGTAGCATGTACTTTTAAAGGGTATAAATACTACCTTCTTGTTAAAAAGTGAACATTCAATAAATGATAATTGCCATTTACTGGCTGCAACTTTATGTTGAAATGGCTCAGAATGTGGAGGCAGTGATCGAGCTGCTTGATGACATGCATAGACGTAAAAATATATTAATATCGTGCCACAATTCATAAGTAATAGAATAACATTTAATGTTACATATTTTACAAACATTGAGTCGTGAAATTGGAGTTAATATGTACATTAAACGAAGTGTATCATAAGCCTCGGACGCTGGCCTTTGAGTGATAATAAGATTAATTAACATGCAAGTTTTTTACATATTTTTAAACGATAATTAATGAAATTGTAAAATGAACAGCAAATTTTAAAATTAGAAGAGAAACAGTATTGATCGACATTTTTCATTAATGATCTAATCAGGTAAGAGAAGACAGACGAAATGGTGGACTAAAGATGGGCTTTTACGAAGACCCCTTCATGTTCATGGCCGAACTTGTTAAGGATCCGGCGTCCTTCAAGAAATTCACTTAAATCGGACCTGATATGTCTCCGGGATTGGACACGATGAGTCCGAATCCTCTCCGCCAAAATCATTGAACTCTGCAATTCGTTTTCTATGTGTTGTTTTCTTGTGACGCATTTTGCAAATGAGCATGCATGAGGTTGTGGTAGGATATAATAGGTCCGTATAGATCCGTGGCAATTCGTTCTTCTCCGTATCAATTCGTTCTTCTCCGTATCAGACCGTACTTATTCGTACTAACCCGTGCTTATACCGTAGCAGACCGTAGTGTATCCGTAGTGCGTCCGTCTTGATTCGTGTCACTCCGTATCAAACCGTGTCGGTCCGTAACAATCCGTGTCTCTCCGGGGGCTTTTGGTGGTAAATCCGTAGGACTCCGTACTCGTACCGTTGTGTGTCCGTACTGGAACCGTAGCAGACTACGGAATTTCACATTTCCGTGGTAATCCGTGAACGATTAGACCGTAGCTCTTCCGTGGCATTATCCGTGAATATGTGACCGGGGCATTAAGAAAATAAATAATAGGTTTAAATTTTCAATATTTTGTCTTTAATTGCATGGAAATCTGTGATAAACCACACATTAAGACCCACGATAATTGATGTGCCCTGAAATGATAATACAATAGATATTGTTCACACTATATAAATTAAGTTCGCTGAAACCACTACTTTTTCAGATCTCTAGCTTTAAAATTATGAAATCAGTGTGGAAAAATGTTCAAAAAGTGTCAGGTTGATGGTCCCTGACCAGTAAATTTTAATGTTCTTTCATGTTTTTATGTGTTTAAAAATAAAGCTTTAACAATTTATTAAAAGTTGCTGTTAGTTGACTGTTCAATTTTTAAAAAAATAATATTAAAGAAAATAAACAACTAAAAGCTTTATTTGTTGTTGAAATATTTATTATAGAAAAAATAAATGATAAGGGGTGAAGTGTCTTACTGATCATGGACATGGGAGTGGACAGTCTGAGAGATTACCTACAGGTCTGAGGGGTGAAGTGACTGGGGAGTGACTGAGGAGTGCACAGACGCTTGGGGTTATGTGCGTGGCTCCCCTTCTTGATCCGCACTTGTATACACCATGCCTATTTTTATCGTGCAAACCGTACGTCAAAATATTTTTGCATATTATTACGACCTGGTCACATGTCTTGAACATAAAACATGTTTTCCGCTATTTTAACCACGTTTAAAAAAGTCCCTAGAATATCATAATTTCATGAAGATAACAACGTACGCTTTTCTTTGATGTGAGATGACTGGAATGAGTTTTCGGCACTGTTTTGCGCTTTCATTTTCATGCCGAGAACCAAAACCCCGCAGCGGTTACTTCCCCTAATCAGTACAGAAACCAAATCAAGAAGACTGACGGAAAGGGCCGAGTAGTTGCGATTGAATTTCTTTTTCCCAGCGATTTTCCCGCTGTAATTTACGGGAAACATTCCAGTGGTCATGAATTCGTAAAGAAGCATGTGACTCAGTTATGAAAATATAATTAAATGTGCAAAGCTTGGAAGAAAGGTACGATCTGATAATAACATGCAGTTATTTATTAAAGGAATATATGCATCGACTGATTTACACCAGAAATAAATGGCATGCGATAACATAAATACCTGAAATATATGTAGGTCAGTTGTGTTTACATTTCGAAGCTTGGTATCTTCAGGAAATTGAAGCGTTGGAAAAAAATTGACTTTTTAAAACGTTATGAAATTCTATTCAAACTTGTTCATGTGTTAGACACTTAACCGTCTCATAATTAATATAAGCACAAATTTAAAACTTATTCTTGTAATAAACAATACTTTTAGTTTTTAATATTCAGGGGCGGAGAAGGGCGGGGTCCATACTCCAAGTGTCTGCGGTAGCAAATGTACTTTATCATCATTCATCGATATATGTATTTAAATAAGTTTGGTTACACAATGATCAAAAAGTAAGTTTGGTTACACAATAATCAAAAAGTAAGTTTGGTTACACAATAATCAAAAAGTAACTACTAATCTCAAAGTAACTCTGATAAAAAAAAAGACCCGTCGTATTTACCTGTTTACTCGTGCACGTATATTTTATAACCGTTGGGTCGAATAATTTTGAGAACGAACTTATAAGGAAATAACTCGATAATAACTGCTGCTTGCAGTTGTTGATACTCCACCCTTTAGATATATATATTTTTGAACACATTAAACAGTTTTATTTCAGTATCCATTTTTGTTTAACTGGTTTAAAACTGCTAACAATACTTTGTTATTTTGGGGAATACCTCCCGGAAGTACTCTAATCTGTAATATGTCAAATGACGTCATCTATCTTATAACCAATCAATTAAACACGGAAAAAACTTTAATAATCAAAGCACAGAAGGCGCTGACGACCCAAACAAAAAAACTAAATACATTCATCTTTTATTGGTTCCAAAAAATAAATATTTGGCATCATTCGGTGAATCACTGGAAAATTATATTTCTTTAAGGACAAACATGTATGAATGGTGATATATACGGGGTTCGTTCTCTCAGTGCCTGAATTCAGGAGCAGACTAACCCTCATTAAACCTAGAACACGCACGCACATACGCACACGTGCACACTCTAAGTGTATTTTAGGTAACATTTACCAAACAACACATGAATGATCCTTTGGTGTTGCCCTGTTGATCTGATGGATCTCTACCAAGACTGTTCAAATTATAGTACTGCATGTATAGTAATAGAAAGAGCATCGAAACACGAGGCTATCTGATTTGTACGAGGGGTCGTAGCCCCCGAGTATTAAGCAAATTGCCGAGTGTTTTGATGTTCTTTCTCTTTTGTATCATAGTCAAACATAAAAAACACGTTCCCTGTTGTCACAATATGAAAACCCGGGAGAAAGTAACCAATGAACGAGCATCTGAATATGATATTTCTGTCGCTTTCCCTTTCTCTTCCGTCACATTAAGTAAACCCCAGCAAAAATGAGCCAATCAATGAGCATGCTCTGCAGTGCGGGTAACTATATAATACCTGTACTGAAGTTAACGCACTGTGCATGTATATGTATACGATTTAACTCTGACACATTTTCAACAGAAAGGTCCCCAAACAATGATACAATTGTTTGTCATTGCATGACCACTGTGTATTTTGTTTAAGTATAGACCGCTATAAATTGTACTTCCTTAGAAAGGACAAACATGCATTTTTTAACGTTTAAATAATAGTTGTAGAGAATGCTCGCTTCTTGTTAACCCTAAATGCGAAATTATTTGTCATAAAAGTAGCAAAATGTAAACAAAGCAGTATTTTGACTTCCATACAAAATATCAATTCACTATAACTGTACTTATTGCCAAAAAGCAACAGTTGAAACATATAGGTTAGGTAATTAGCCAATAAGTTACTTTTTGGATAATTAAAAGTACACCAAAATTAAAAAGCTTTTCAGAAACATAAATAAAAGCATTTCTGAGGCATAATGGGCCTAATAAGCATAAATTGATGTACATCTATTGCCATTAATGAATTATTATTTAAAAGATATTCCAGAACTTTTAATTTAACGCTTCAAAAGCAGCGTCAGCATCTTTGTTTTTTCGGCATCTGATGATATAGTTTATACTTAGAACTGATATGTTAAAGGTGGAGTTTCTCGTAGTGACCTAAATTTTATATTTTTTTACATCATGCTAAACATGTTTAAGTACACGTTTAAGTACTATTTATGAAAATGTAAAGCTCAAAGAACTCGGATCATTTTTCGTGGAAGCACGAGAAATCATCTAAAGCCCGAGCTAGTATATATACGCAAGGCATTAAAATATACGTCTGATTCGGTAATTCCGTGTACATTAATTTTTTGTATAATGAATTACCGAGACTGTCATTGCAGTCAGCTATTTTAGTCACGCACGTGCTATAACGACGCGTATCCGTTTGCGCATTTTTTTCCTTATGCCGGCTCGCCACGGCGAGCCGGTATTACGGTAGGATTTTACTGAGAAACAACCTAAAACTCCGAAGCCATCCAAAAATTTAATCGAAGCTTGGCTTCCAGCTTTCTACAAAATTTATCTATCAGGGCTAGGATCCAAAATTATTTAGCCAATCAAATTTAATCTTACATAGCGTCAAAAAACCTTCAATTTTCACGCCATTTTTAAAAACCAGCAAGTATTGTTTTGAGCGCAAAGATATAATGATGATTAAAATGTTTGTCTTAATGAATTCTTTTCAATAAATCATATTTACACTGACTTCTGATTTAGCGATTTCACCTGTTTTCTCTGTAGTAAGTTTTCGTTTGGTTAATTAACATAAGTGTACATCTGGTTCTGTGCATTTTTTTTCCCGGTCATTTTATCCTTTCCGGTATTTAGTGTATGTATTTACTAGCCGGGATCCGGGACGCTCGGGATCCGGGATTGTATAAGATATGGAGGAAAAACCTAATGAACTATATTTGTGTTGATTGTTGTCGTAATAAAAGGCCATTAAACGTTTTTTTTATTGTATATAATGAACGTTAAATTAATTTAACTTAGAATATAGATATATTTAGAGCTATTTATTAACAAACTTAAAATGCGAAAATCACAATACTTATAATTATATGCCTAATTAATTGGAAAAATCAAAGACTATTTTCTTGAATTGGCCAAATCCCGGGATCCCTATATGTTTTAAAACGATCCCAGCTTTTCTGAAAACTATATCCTTGAACTGGCCAATCCGTGAGATCTATTTACATTTTGATACGATCCCGGCTTTTTCTGAAAACTATATTCTTGAACTGGTCAATTCCCGGGATCCCTATATGTTTTAATAGGATCCCGGCTTATCTGAAAAACATCTTCTTAGACTGGTCAATTTCCGGGATCCCTATATTTTTTAATAGGATCCCGGCTTTTCTGGCTGAATTGATTGACAACTTGTGTTTACTTTAGGACTTGTGCCTCTCATTCCAATACTAAATAACATACATGTATTACAACTTAATTTTGTATAAAGAGACATCTTTATGAAATCGACCTATCTAACACTTTGTGGTCAAGGTCAACAGGCCATATAGTAAATGTGCATAGACATAGGTTCTTCATTCTATCTGTTTACATGCACCTTCTTATATACTCATACTCATCTTGGTTAAACTGAGAGAACTTTATATGTCACTTTCAGTCAATGAGTTTAAGATTTTGAATTTACTGGCCCGAATTCCAGTTTTGAATTTATTCTACTAAATAATTAACAAAATTTTCTTAAATTTACACTGGCCTGAACTTATATACACTGGCCATCGGGCACCGGGCCAGTGTTGACTTCACTTTTATTTTGATGTTCGCTGAAGTCTCTTCAGCTAACAGAACTGTCATTTTTACATTTAAACACACCCCTTGAAAAAATTACGAAGCGAGTCGCTACTAGCTTTTTTAAAAGCTAACCTTGTCCACACTTATAACATTCTTAACTAGCGGGGCCATCCGTCTATCGAACAGGTTAAACTGGTGAGTTATCTTCCCGGCGCTTTATATTGATAAAAAGAAGTGTAAGACATACATGTATGGAAGACAACACATAAAAAACATACTGTGGTTCTTTAATTTCATGTTTCATAAGATCTAGTATAGTGTTGCATTAAAAAATAAGCATACACTAAAATAGTTTCCTCGGAGTATCGAACCTGCAACTACTTGCATAAAAGGCAAGCATCTTGCCTCTGCCATGTTGCGAATTCTCCGTATATGAAAATTAAAAGTAAGCAGTAAAAGAGTGAAAAAAGGTTCTTTCTTTCCCTTCCTTGCATTTGGAATCGCCCAAGTAAATAAACATTCTAACTGTATGATTTATCAGTTGTAGAAAACCGATCCTTCTATTGGCAGACAATACGTCACGCTTCCGAATTCGCCCGATATACACAACATTAAAATTGTTCAATATACTTTATTAATGTAAGCTTGAATAAAGCATGCATCAATGTTCAGCAGATGAAAAAGTTCAGTTTCAAAAGTTTATAATTATCAATAAAATACTTTAATTTGCAAGATTTCACTACATTGATGATGACTGTTGACTGGTTTTCGGTATCTTTTTACATGCTATTGTGTTATCAGGAAAGATAACTTATTTAGAAAACATTTCACACTTGTAATTGCGTTACTTTCCCTTTAATTGTTATGTAAGCATAATTCTCTTGTCATCATCACATGCTTCTTGCAATTTGGAATTTCTTTTGTTCTAAGATAAATATCTAAATGTTGAGCGTTTTCTTAGACTCGTTCAAGTGGGTTGACTGTGTTGAGTTTTGTCATTTTTACATAATCAATTATTTCTAATCATTTCTCTAAGCCACAAATACAGGAATTATAATTTCATTTTTTATGTATCGATATCATAATGTCACATGGTACAGGCACCAAAGGCTCCGTGGATACGATGCTTTTATTTCCATAATCACAAGTTTCATAACTTACAAAATGTCAACAAGAAATCAACAAGAAATCAACAAGAAATGGCTCTCCACACATCGATGGTGCATTTGAAACTAATTTCTCATTTATGCGTGTTTTTGTTTGTTTCTTGTTTTTTGTTGTTGTTTTCTGTTTTGTTTTTTCTTGCTGTTCAAAATACTGGTTTTTGTTGTTCAAAATACTTTATAAAGACTTTATAAAATATATCTGTCAGCAAGGACATGGATTTAATATGTAGCAGACAATAGACTGTAATTAAGTCTATATTGCGAAAGTATTTGCACTATTTCATATAGTTTAATATTAATTTTGAAAGTTAGAAACAATCACATTAATCTCGAAGTTTTTTAAAATCAAACGTTGACTTGTTATATATATACAATTTCATTTGATGTTAAATGATTATATTTTTTTCCTTTTATGCAACTTACGATTTCATCTTCGTTAATTCATGAAGTTGAAATCTTGAATTCGTGAAGTTGAAGTCGTGAATTCGTGAAGTTGAAATTGTCAATTGATGAAGAATTCGTGAAGTTGAAATCGTGAAGTAGAATTCGTGAAATTGAAATCGTGAATTCATGAAGATGAACAGAGAATTCAAGAAGTCGAAATGTCAGCACTGGTCTATTTAAAACCTTATGGTTATAGGGATTTAAACTGAAAATAGTTGTTCGAGATAAATGTTCCATTTGATGCAGGTCAAGATCAGTAACGTAAATGCAAAATTTCAGATTATTCGTTAACTCCGTTTTTACAAGAATTCTAATACCCCAGGTGGGGGTAACGCTCGACGTTTCTTTACTTTTTCTAAAGGCAAACAACTAAACGGTTGAAATTTAAATCTTTTAAAA